CTGGTTCCTTGTTAAGCCGCGTTCACCAGCTCCACAGCAATATACTCTGCTATCGACGCCAGTAGATATATTCCAATATACCCTTACAAAAATCTGTAGTTAAATTCTTTTGAATTTTTGTTGAAAATTTTCTGGAGTCCTATTGAATTTCTTTTTAAACTTTTTTGATTTTTCTTAGACTTTGTTTTGACAACTTATTTAACTCCTAGTTAAAATTGGCCACTTAAATTTTTTAGAATTCCTTCTTACATACATTCTTTTGAATTCCTTCCTACATACATTCTTTTGAATTCCTTCTTACATAAATTTTGTTGAATTCCTTTTGACAAAACCGCAGATTAACGTTTAAAAAAAATTAAATTTTTTAATATATTTTTTAATTTCGTTAGGAAATAGTGTCTTTTTGATACATACACATCCCACAAATAAGCAATGTAAACAAACACAAACACCATCAAGCACTCAACACCAGAAACACAGTCCTGTTGACAGCACCAGAGCCTTATATAGCCTACATATTGAAGGTAATCATTTGGCCGGTGACCACCTCAGCACTTACTAAGTTTCCAAGTCTCCGGTCTCTTTTCGAAAGTCTCTCCAAGGAAAGACAGTGTGTCGAAGTTCGTGGACTTTATCTCTTACTAGAAAGCATTGGTACAACTAATAATAATTTCGTGTAGTCGCTAAAACAACATCCACAAAAACTGCTCATAGAACAAATGTTTATAGCTTCTCGGAATAGCACCACTCGGGACGAAGCCAGTCAAGGCGGTTGCTCCACTTTAATATAGTTATCTTGCTCTTTACTAGTTGAATAGGGTCAATAATGCAACGATTGTCATTTACAAAGTGAGGACGGCAGGGCGTGTTTTTCGAACGCCTGCCCTCCAGCACGCGCCCCATGCCTTCCCTCGTGCTTTGACGACGCAATCGAGCTCGAGGGGCGCGAGACGTCGAAGAGTTGTCAAGGATAGAAGGCTCGCGCTGGAGGCAGGAGAACGGAAGCGCCTCCCTATGGTTCTCAACTTGTCAGAGACTATTGAGAAACTTAGTGACTTTTGACATTGAGTCAAGATGTATTATGTTCAATAAAAAGTCAACAGAAAGTCTGTAGCTTTTCTTTTGACACTGGCTACAGAAAGTCAACTAAATAATTTAAACACGAAGTAAATAGAACGTCTGCAGTATTTCTGATAACACATTCAACAGGAAGTCAACAGAAAAAAGATCCAACGTAGAGTTAATAGAAAGTCAATAGAAAATCATAAAAAAAGTTTCAACACAAAATCAACAAACTTTTTGTTGACCATGTCAACAGGAAGTCAGTCAAAATAAAGTAATCAAAGTGAACAAGAAGTCAACACATTTTCAATAAAAAGTAGATAAAAAAAACATCCGTCATATCGGACCCCGCACACAAACGCAGACCAAATAAAATAATAAAAAATGTCTCTTTTTATAAAATATTATAAAGAAATAATGTCAATAGGTTTTATTTTTATTTTTTAGAAAATAAGCTACAAAAAACGTTGTTACAACTTCTTTTTATTTTTTTATAAATAAGTCTTCAAAACAAAATCTATTGTTTTTCCTTTTGAATTTTTTTAGAAAATAATCTACAGAAAAACGTCTTTACAAGTTCTTTTTAATTTTTTTATAAATAAGTCTACAAAACAAAATCTATTGTTTTTCCTTTTGAAGTTTTTTAGAAAATATCCTATAGAAAAACGTCTTTACAAGTTCTTTTTAATTTTTTTATAAATAAGTCTACAAAAAAATTCAATATTTTTTCTTTTGAAAGTTTTTTGACAATAGTCAAAACAAAGTTTGTTTATAAAGGAATTCAATAGGATCGCGGAAAGTCAATAAGAAGTCTAAAAAAATTAAAAGGAATGTTGAGACCCGTTTTTGTAAGGGTAGTAGCCCTGACAGATTAGAAAGTTCAGGGCTTGGCTTGATAGCGACACGCTCCTTTCTTCTTGATTCGTAATTTGGATACTGAGGTTTTACGCCGATAAACTTGTAGACGTAGAAGACGCAAAACTTCGATATAACCGAGATAGCCCACTTACGATCTTAAATTGTTCTTTCCCATTGTTATCGGTTAATGACATAATCGGATTAACTACGGAGTGATAATGCGCTGCTCAGAACTCGCCGTCAAGACCTGCGTTTCTTAAGCTGTTAATAACATATAGAGGCGTTCTTTAAGCGCGCCGCCATCTTAAGAATTGCGGCGCCGACGACGCCGTCTAGCGAATCAAAGCTTGAAATACCGGCTGGTTGTGGCAACACAGCTGTCTCCGTAGGCAACGATATGGGTATGTGGGGAACTTGGCTGGAACTTGGTCGGTTGAATCTAGCTGACTGCACCGTCCTCGAAAGAACGAGGACGAGTATTTTGATCGAGTTTCCACAACAAAGGAATATATGTGACGTTTAATGTAGTCTATGCAGGCAAGCTTTCGGCATCTGATAGTGGCACCTTGAGTGGTGGCAGGTAGACGTTTTCGTACCCTTCACATACCATGGAGGAATAGCGTACCTTGCAGAGATAACCTGATCGGAGCACTGGTACCGGGTTAGAATCGGTCCTCTTGCCTTCGACGAAGTAGTCGTGAGCATAAACGTGACGATGAGTCTGATACAAACTCCTCGGGATTCACGCTCGAAATCGAGTGGATTTATAATTAAGAATCCGTGGGAAAACATGTGAAGCGAAATCACACTGCAGCCACACTCGCGCTGCGACTTCTTGTGCTCATTGCACAAATCCGCGATTTTTCTTAAACGCTTATTTTTTTTTTTTGTTGACTCTGGAGCGCAAGAAAAACGACACGAGTCCATGTATCATTTTTGACAGATTGACATTGACTGTGCTACGGCGAAATTCTGTTAAAGGCCATATGTTTAGCACTTTCGTGTAAGCGCATGCCATCAGCATAGGGCACCCAGGAGAGTGGCATCCTCATGATCTAAGCAAGAAGCCTTAAGCGAGTGATGTCAAAGACGCAACTTTCCCTCGAGATTACACTGATTGACCCTCTCGTGACGTTTCACGTGCCGATATTCTTCTGCGGATTACGTCATTAGGCAGATGTAGTTTTCGGGGCCACGCAGCAGAGAAAATTTTAATAATCACCCTCAGTGCGCTGCGATCTTTCTCTACTGGACTCTAGAATGGATCCTGAGCTTGCGCAATAAGCTCTCTTGTACGGTATATCGCCCACTGCTCATGCCTTTAGCATTGTGTGCCTAGCTTGCAAGCGTTGGTAAGTTTTATCGGCTAATATATATCATGTTTTATCTGCTTTCTTTATTAGATGACGGTTTTTATGGACATGTTGCCACGGTCTGTGCAGTGCCCACCTACATACAATGGCAACCGAACTTAACGCCGCCACGGATGGTCCACTTTACCAAATGCTGTGTTTTTTTGGGGCTTACCGATCGAATTACGTGGTGAAGTTTTCATTCTTCCATCACAGCCCAGCCCGAACATGATATTCCAGCTGTTGCAGCGACAAATTTAGCTTTGCGTAGCTCGCAGTAGATCTATATTTGGGTAAGCGAGTAGCGGCATTAAGTTTGAGTAGCACTGTGCATCAGTAATGTAGTACAGAGACTGAACTGAGATATGGCTCGTACTGTTTCTATTAATTTTGATTGTACTATGAGCAAATCCTGGGGGGAAGGTTGTTACTGCTTAGTAGATTTCAAACGTCAACACCGAATAATAAAGAGGAGAAAAAGGAAAGAGTAGATGGGGGTATCGTTTGCTTCGAACATTTATTGTACATAAACACCACCTTCTTATCAAAATCACAAGAACAGGAACTTTGAGCATTAACGCGACATCAACATGAGAGTACAGCAAGTACGTTGTTGGTCGCTGAAGGTGAACATGATTGATATGTTGATTGCTTCGATATATACATGGCACATGACATGATGTTCACAATGGCTACATACTTTTTCAGAATACAAAAAGAAATCGTACCAAATTGATTTCCTATCTCTATGTATGGCACAAACTTTATACTTCTCACTGAAATGAAATTTATAGTTTCGCTTCAATTCCCTGTAAAATACGAAAACAAGACTAAAGTAATAATTTACTTAATTCGTGCCGTTTAAGATGGTTAGCATCCGTTTGATTTTCTTTGCTACCACGATCGAGCAAGATTTATAATCGTTATAGTTTTACCCAGGAACGTTTTGGCCAGTGTGAATACAAGAATACTATGAAGTTTGATTATGTGCAATATCACAGTCAAACACTGGCTCGTAGACCCTCTGATATTGGTACGCTTGAGTTGTAACAAAGAAAGAAAAGCCATCACGTGAAATATTGCTAATCTCACATGAAGCAAAAGGAACACAAATGGCTCTTGAAACAATGTCGCTCGCCAGGTAACAGGAGAATCAATACTTGGTGACTAGAATAGTAATTGTCATTAAAGAAGCAATAATTTAAAGTCTGGCGTATCGGCACAGTTCTGCATGTCTGCCGCATTTGGGCTCGAGACGAGGAGAGGCGACGCTGAGTATTTACTCCAAGAGCAGATCGTCTTTTAAGGCTCCGACGTCAATATCTAAAAAAAAACTAGTTAAATAGGCATTTTGGCCTATATATGTATTGACTTAGCAGATATATTTTAAATTTAGAAGTAATTCAAACAATTCAGAGAATTGCCTCGAGCAAATATGAGCGATTCAAATATAAATAAAATGAGCATTGCCTACGGAGATGATCTTGTGACGGCGCTGCACATGAACACAATTTCAATTTTCCACCATGCAAAACAAAAGTACACAAACACTGTCGAGCGCTATGACACAAAACCACTTTTGTGTTATGGCATCGACTGAGCTACTACAAGATGTTCATTGTTCCAGGTGAAAATCGCATGACGTCCGTCACATAATGACTTTCACTTGTTTCTGTGCAACGACCACTGATGCAGGGCCGGAGATGATGGTGAGTTAACGAAGTGTTTTTACAAGGACAAGGACGGCCTCTTCTTATGGCGCTTGGCGTTTTTGCCGAACACCGCTCCGAGCATCTTGGACACCGTGACGACGCTGAGACGCCGTCGCACCGGTGTTAGGGACCGCAAAATCTTCGTTGCCAGGACCTCGCGCAGAATGCTCTGGAAGGCGATGCTGACGCCGGCGTAGCTGTCAGCCGCGGACACCTCGAAGAACTGGCAGTGAAGCTTGAGGGACAGCTCTCGGCCGTCGTCCACGTCCACCTGGCGAACGTGGGATAGGTCCCGCTTGTTGGCGACCAGGATGGCGGGCAGGCAAGGGCAGTGGTGCTGGACCCGCTGAAGACACAGGGAGGCTTCTTCAAAGCTCCAACGGTCTTCGATGCTGTACACCACCACGAAGGCGTCCGCCCAGTTGATCTTGTCCTCAGGGAATTTGTTCTCCTGCTGCGGTGATCAAAAAACAAAAAGGACAAAAACCAATTATTTTCGGTTCTCAACTCACCCGGCACGTGAGTAAGTACTTCCTTTAACCCCGTTCAGTCGTAGAATTATAAAATTAAGAATTGCTCAAATGATGAGTTACTTAAAAAAAAGTATGATGCAGTAGATTTTGCGACGGACCTCACGTGTGAGAACAAGGACGTCTGCAGTAAGTTTTAAAATTTTCCCAAACGAAAATCAATATTTCGTTAAAACTCCCAGCGAAACGTTTACTGACATTCTGAGTCCTCCTAGTTGTCCCTAGCAGTTTCGACGGGCTTCGTGATTTAGGTAGAATGATTATTAAATATTTGTAGTACCAAACATGCTGAAGTTACGTGTATATTTTACGCGGCCAAACAGCAACTTTTAACATAACAAGATATAAATTTTGCTCTTTAAATCCTAATCAATCTTAGAGATAGGCTCGTCTCTTCGATTGATATTGGCAAGATGAACGCACCTGATGGCGGGAGGTGTCGAGGATCTCAAGCTCGCACGTCCTGTTGTCCACCAATACCGTGTGTCTGTACAGGAGGTCCTTCATGGAACTGTACTCGCTGATGAACCGCCTGGTCAGGAACCTGACGGTCACGGCTGTAAAGACCAAACAAAAGACAGTTGTGATTGTCATCCACTACAAACTCGCGATATCATCTTTACAGAAACTAAATGTGGTCCTGCGTTTTCCACTGCTTTGATCATCAAGACACGAAACGAGCACCTTCTGGAACCTCGATCGGTCTGTCCCGTTCGACAGCTACGATTGGTGAAAGCGAGTGCTGCAGCTGAGTTCGTCAATGTTCACACAAAGATTGCACCGATATCGTCTTGCCTTCCGCGTGTCTCCCCTAATTGCGCAGGAAGGCGCCAGGAAGATCTTAACGTCTGATAAATGGATAACTGGTCCGGATGATCAATGTCGTAACCGGATCAAAACGCAATTTTTGTTTAATACTTGTCTACCGAAAGTACACGCTCCAGATGGAATGCAGACAAGCGTTCCACAAGTAACATGACCCCCCCCCCCCGTAAAACTGGTTTCAGTGGTGTACCGCAGGGAAATCGTTCAGGTCATCAGCACACTCGGATTGCAAGGTCGAGTGTATAAGCGAGCGTCAGCGGGCAGTCGTACCCCTTTTGCTGGTGGACGTTCAACGTCCCCTCGCTCATCCGGTCACCAGACGGCTTCGGGGCGTAAAAAAATACACTCCAGGAAACGGATCATTAGAGATCGCTGACGGGACATGGGCGTGGGGTGTGAAGAAGCGGCAGATAAAAAGAAAACGCTGAATGGTGGGAGGCGACTTTATAAGATTCTTTTGTCTGCCAAGGCGACTGCGTGGCAACCGTAACCATAAAACAACAATTATACTGCCGCCAAACTTCTCCTTTGCCTAATTTTACATTCACTGCAAGTTCAGTGTCGCTTCGCGTAATGATCGAGAGCCGCAGTGATGGCTGTTAAGAAACCCTCAAGGGTTGAGGGTTCTTATTAGCTAAGTCACGTGCATACCAGCCTCCAAAGCTGAAAACGAGAAGTGCGAGAATTTGTGTCATGCTGGTGGATCTATTTGCCAACTGGGCTGAAGTCGACGGGTAGCCTTTGAATAGGGAACAAGATTCCGGGGAGAAAGGCGAATGCTCCCAATTCAGAGAAAAAAACTCACAGCGGGACAACGCCGCCGACATTCAGGCACGCCCGGGGTTACACGTTTAGCGATCAGTACCGGATATTTGGTGGGAAAACAGCGTGAGAAACGGGCGAGCCACAAGAAAAAGAAAAAAAGTAGAAAAATTCGACCTTGCTTGTCAGTTTCAGTCGTGCACCCGTGGTCACTCTTAATCATCTGGGAGCGGAACAACCTGTAGTATTTATTTACTTTACACGCAGATCGCTCTCCGGGCTTCTAGTGGTCAACGCTGTATGTGTTACGCATCCCAAGTGCCCGGAAAGAGAAAATCAAGCAAAATAAAGAGGCCGTTGCCTTATTCTTGACGGATAGGGTCGCACCGTCTCAGCTGGAGGACACACCTGATATTTGTAGGTTACGTGCCGTAACTTTTGTTGTAGTTTTCTAATACGCCTGGAGAAGGTTGCGAAAGGAGTCGGAGAGGATTTCTCGCCGGCAATCTTGAGCGCTCTTCGAGTCGGAGAGATGTTCAACACCCGGCGCTCCTTCGCCTCTAAAAGTGAGTCTTCAAGTGCGCGTAGCGCGTCTGGGCGAAGTAACCTGTCAGGCAGGCGTCAGCCTGAAATGATTGCCTTTGAACACATTTCCCATTAATTTTGTTTGCTTGGCGATTAGGAGCGACCTAAGGTTAAAGCATAAAATGGACGTTGAGGGAGTTTTGAAAAGACGGTCGCGTGAAATGACCAACACACTAGGGAAGGAAATTTTTACAACAAGGTGTCAGTTTGGTACACATCATGACGCTGCTATTATGGCTTTAACTGGGATTAGTAGTAAAAAGTATTGCGTATTTATCTTATTCGGTCGCCTGCGCTGAATTTCGAAGCCTCAGTGTTTACCTATATTTAGATAAGTTTACATTTAGCCACGTTGCCCTGGAATATCTGAATAAGTCGTGAGGTGCAGTGTATAAGAAACATCTAAGCCAAATCAAGAGTTGGGCAGAAAAGAAGGGTGTCAAGACTGCCGCTCACGGGACTTCTCTTGACATCACATGATTATGACACAAGAACGACTCATAAATCTGCGGACACCCAAGTTGCGATTGCGTTATGTCGCCAGCGGCTCAATACTCGCGAAACGCATGTGACTTTCAGTAACTCTTTCCCGCCGCTACGAGAAATAGCGAGACAGACACAATCGCGGTGTATGTAGCCCGCGAGCGCTCCTCAATTTCAGGCCTCGCTCGCCGCACTCACCACTGACAGTGACGAAGGGCTACGCGGTAGTCGAGCACGCCCTCTCGAGAGGAAAATGATCGAGAAGCCGTCGCGAGCCTCCTGACACCTGTGGGCCCCGCCGGGTGAAAGGCTGTGGGCCCGACCATCCGTAAGGTAAAATCAATTTCGGCGACGATTGCCGAGGTCCGTGCCTGCGTGGCAGCGAGGATATCGCCTTTCTGCGGAGGGCTGGACCGGATGTCCAGTCGGGACAGGAGATGAGGCGTACGAGCATGATGGAGAAGCCGCTCAAGTGCCTCCTTCAAATTGGTCTGGAGTGAGAGCGGAAGGAATCTGCGAGAAGCCGCTGCGGGCACCTACTAGAGAGAGTAAGGCCATGGTGCCTGATGTTTCGGCGTCGCTTAGAAGAGGCCAACGCGGGTGGCACACTTTCAACACCAGTGCTGTCAGCGTTTGGTTGAGATTCGTGTCCGCACTGATGGCACACGAACCTCAGCCGCCTCGCTAAGATGCCTCATTCTTAGGGTGCTCGGTATTCATACGAATCGCCGGTTTGCATACAGTTTTCCAACGCCTATAATTCAGGAAAAAACAAAAGTGCCGAGTCACTGGGTTGTGGTCGTATATGCACGGCGTCTGATATACCGCAGAAGATAGCTACGACGCGTGCGCAGAAGGTGCGTTCTAGAGTCCAGTATAGACAAATACGGCAGCGTGCAGGGGTGGTGTGAGTGAGTGAGAGGGCGACGTACCATTCACTCCCCCTGTCCCCATACACTGTGTATTACCAACAGTGCCTAGAAGACAAGGCCGTAGTGCTGACATTTTAACGTCACCTTCGAAGGCCCACGCTGACACAGATTGGGAACGAGGGCTTCGTCAGCGATAGGCTTCGAGTTATGTTGAGCCGAAGGTTGACTCGATCGTCGTGTCCAATATGTGACCATCGTTGGGCTTCGCTGATGGCGACACCTCTATAAGCACTACGGCTTTGTTATATAGGATTTGTTGGTATTACTGTGGCAAGTGTTGCTATGGCGTTGTGAAAAGCTAGTTGTCTTTGCAACACCACGGATTCTACTAAGAGGGTTCTTTTATGTGTTTTCTTTCTAAGTGGAATGAGAAGAAGTGTTTATCTCGTGTTCCCAGAAAAAGGGGTATGTAAATAGTTACATTGTTCTCACAACTGGTGGAGAAGAAAGTGGCGAGGAATCCGATGCCACGTATCTCAGGCTCAAAAGGTTCAACACGAAGCCAGTTAAAAATGCAATGTTAAAAGAAAACAAAAAAAAAAAAAAAAAACATCGTTGTTATTTGAGGAGGAGCGAAGCAGTGAACCCGACTTAATGAGGTGTGTCCAGGGGATCGGCCATCTGTGTTCACTCTCCACGCCGAACTGCAAACCGCCCTATGATTTGCCCCAATAAAAATGAGAGTGGAAGAGCTATTCCCATCTCTGAAACGTCCGCCCCGAACTCGTACGCACGTTGCACTCTTCCTTTCCATCTTCCTCTCCTCGCAAGCTGGTCTAGAAGCCATACGTACCGCAATTACAGCCGCGCGACGAGTAGATCGATTCTCAAGAAACATCTTGACGCCCATCCACCCCACACGTCGCTCCAGTGTCTTACAGATCCGGTTTCCGTGTCGGAGGACCACGCATCAGCGGCTCTAACATTTCCCCCCCTTTCAGTTGCAATTGAAAGAACTCCGGTTCCACGCAACATACGTCCTCCTGGAGCACTGTTCGAAACCGAGAAGTGTATCCCTACACGAAACAGCCTTTCGTTGTCAGACTCGGCGCGTTTTTTTGACGGATTCTCCTCCACGATGACGATGCCCCTTGGCCCGCCAGGATCCCTCTCAATCATTCCTTTACGCACCGCTGGAATCCTGACTCAAAGATGCCCGATATGTGCGCGCAAGGTGTGCTGCGAAAATTTTTCCTGGACCTCCATGGCTGGCCGGCTCGCGTGGTCACGTGCTAGTCTAGTTTCACATTCCATTACCCTCGTTCTCAGACGAATTCCAAAGCCGGCCCGAATGGGGCTCTTGAAGCGTATCTGGAGGATGCCATCCCGAACTTAGTGGGTGCTTCAGTTTCCCGGTAGGAGTTAGTGACACTAGAGTATCGGAAGGTCGACGTCTCAGTTTAAACATAAACAACTAAACGTTTACGCGTGTAGGTACTTTATTTTGTTTTGTACAAACTTCTGTAGTGTTTTATCATTGCATTAAATCTGTTTTTGTTTTCAAGGCTGCGATCAGTCTTTGAGATGAATCCACTTTACTCCTGCTCCCGTCTCTCCAATCCCACTTATGCTCATCTTTACCGAGATTGCAATTACCACACTATCGCGGTTTTTACTTTAAGCAGCGCTTCTTCATGTAGATCTTCATCTTTCTATCTGACGGAAGAAAAAGCAAAATCCTCGACGTTGAAGTATTCGGATGCTCGGCGCATACCAAGCGCGCTTTCAAATCCTGCCGGTACCCCGGTGCTGTCAGACCCAAAAGAAAGCCTTCACCTGATTTCTGTCTTCCTCTTTCGCTCAAGTCAACTTCCCTCCCCCTAGTGAGTTTCCAAGATGAAGGCCGCTGTGGCTCTGCTGACGGCTTTACGGGGCATCGTCCTCCCCGTCCGAGACATCTAGCTCGGATCCAACGAAAAAACAAACAAACTCGTCGCTTCCTTGTTGTTTTGTTCTGCATCCTAAACTCG